CTGGGCAGTGACTTTTTTTTAAACAAGCAAGAGGAGAGCTATGTCATATTTGAAGGCACAGGAAGAGTCAGAAATGTGTACCTGCATTCTTGTTTCATGTCATATGCTTGAAGTATTTAAAGAGACACAATTAAACCATTCATTTCAATAAAAATATTCCAATAAGATTATATGTGCATTTAACAATACTTTTGTATGTTATTTGGCTATAAAATCCTTACTTCTTAGGTACACATCCAAAAAGCCCTAAGACTGCAGCAGGGCACTGCCATCTTGGGATGTGATGTAAGCAGACTCACAGTCAGTCACTCAAGAAACACTATAATATGGCCCTACTCTCCTCGCTGGCAGCTACATATAAATTTAGGCATGGAGGTAAAAGGAGGAGTTGGTAGAGTTGTACAAGAACAGAATAATTAGACATTTTAATAACAGGGAGAGTACTATAACATGCAAGGAGTGAGGGGGATGTGCAATGGAATTGATGAGCAAATTTTAAAAGTTTTAAAATAAGGGCAAGGAAAAAGCATTTCAAGTATACCTAAAGGCAACATTTTTTTTTTAGTTTTGGATAGAGTGCAGAGACATTAGAACCCCTGTATTTTTATTTCCATCTGCGTCCCTGTTAGGAAGATTAACCCTCTCTATTTTTCCTGTTTACCATTTTCATTGAAAAGTAAGAAAAATCGCCCATTTTGGGTTGTCCCCAGAAAAGTAATAGAGGGGGAAATCTTCCAATGGGGACACTAGTTCTGGTAACCTGGGGGTTCCCAAGGAATTCCCTCCCACTTCCAGTTGGGCTATGGGACAAGGGAAGGGAAATCTCCACAATGGGAGACAGATGGCGAGGGAAAAAAAAAAAAACTGACAGGGGCTATAAACCCTCATTTCCTCTATCCAAAATGAATGGAGAAAAAAAAAATATAAAGAGCTTTGCCAATAGTTCCACTTTGAAAATACTTGCCTTTTCTCTACTCTACCAGCAATTTTAAATAAGCTGGTGACAGGGTCTCTTCATGTACAAAGATCAGCGTGACAACTTGGTAATTAACATTTTCAAAAGCAGGTCAGAAATTGCTGCCCCACACTCCTACTTTGTGAAGTTTCCAAGACAGCAATAAGGACCATATTTCACTTCTACAGCATTAAAAGTGTTACTAAACCCACAACAGTAAATTCAGTCTGTATGTGCAGTAAAGCATGCTTGTTATGCTCACTGTGAAGCCTGAGGGGTTAATCCTCTGCACTGTTTAAAATGCTGTATGATCTTGACCTTCTCTGATCCTCTCCATCTTCCAGTGTCTCCCTTTGATCTCCTGATAAGACATATCATTTGGCGAGACTCTGCACTTGCTCAGTTTAGTGTTTATAGCTAGTTTTTTTTTCTTGGGAGAGTGCATGTGATCAGCACAAGGCCAATCAGCAGTGTCCAGGCAGAGGGTCGGGGGGTTTGCATCCTCCTAGAGCAGAAAGAAAATTCCTACAACCTTTAACCAGTGCTCAGCTGGACACTGATAGAAGTCACAAGACTGCTCTAACTGCTGATAAGAAAAAGTATTTAGCAGCTTATATTTACTAAAATAATTGCAATTCCATGTAGTGTGTATTGTGGGAGACCAGATAGAGTGAATGTAGGGTCCTGGGTTTAGTAACACTTTAACTGGCTTCTATTTATTTCATCAAGCAAAGGATAATTACAATTTATGGTGCCAAAAATCTATTCTTGTAGGTTAAAACACAACTCTAGCCATGAACAGCTCATCTGTCAATTCCTGGGAATGTAGCTGTAAAGCATCAATCTTTAATATATGTTCTAAACATGCCAAGATGGGCCATTAAAAAAGGACACTTGTAATTACGTACAGCAATTAAAGTATAACCTGTTTACATGTTTGTGTCCAATTATAAATCAGGATATTGTAAATGCTTTGTTTTATTCCTTTACTGATGAAAGAAAGCTGCCTATAAGTGCACCATCCTAATAACTCAGATTCCAGACCTCAGGTTGTAGTCCAACCAGTTCCAAATACTTCTGAAAAACTACAAAACAAACTACATATAATTACGTTATTCATTCACCCACAGAATATAGGTTCTGATAAGTCATACATTAATTGATAAGAAGTACTCAACTTATAACAGCCAACCAAGAGGCATTTTTTTTTAAATTAGCACAAAAGGTTAAACAAAAAGAGCATTTCCTACTATAAACAATCGGCTCTTTATTCATTTTTTTTGCAAAAATGTACCTCATTGGTTATTGAGGGTGACACCAACCCTTTCTTTCTGAGTCTTCTAAATTCAATTTCCTCCGCAGCAATTAGCTAATACATTTTGTGCTAAATAAGAAAAATCTAAATAGAAGGTTCCATGGAAACGCCTAGCAGTTCAAAAAAGCCTCAAAGTAAAGCCCTGTACTGTGAAGGCACATAGGCACATGCACTGATGGAATTCATCTTATTTCTGCAGCCAGGAGTCACAGGTGTCTGCATACAGCCACTGTGACAGATGCCACAACAATATGAACATCTGAGCGAGCATACATACATAAATACAGAGAGATGAAGCTGCCTCATCCACACTGTCCAGAGTCCAAGACTACTCATACCTCCCTGTATGCATGCCACTGCCCAGATGTGCGTACAGCTGTGGCATCTGTCAGCCTGTCATGGATTTGTGCAGGCTGCAACTGTACGCAAACACCAGCGACTACCAGGTGCAGAAATGCAATGAATTCTGTCAGTGTATGGCTCTCTGTATAAATGAGCCAGAACTTTCAGGTCAAGTGACTGCATAGAAAAACGTGAAAAAAAAGATAAATATTATGATGTATGCAGGGCAATGGGGAGGCAACATTTTAAAGAAGGTTTATTGTTGAGACAAACAGAAAACATGAAAGTATGGTTTTGAACAACACACGTTTTACACCAATGCTAATGTAAAATGGAATGTGCTACATATAGTATGTAACTGTAGAAAAATGTGAACTTTACATTACATGTCCAGAGTCCACTGCAAAGAGCAGAGATAAAATCAGGCCCTCTGTACAGGTAACAGCAACCCTCACAAGAGATGTTATTTTGCATTAATTATGATTATGTACATGCTCAAAAGGAATCAATCCATTCAACAGATTTGGAGGAGATGGCACGTAAAAAAAAAAAAACATTATAGTACCTGAAGCTTTGTTTCTCATCAATCCCTTTAGTGAAACAAAATTTATTTCTGAAAGTCTTCCTGTGCAATATATGTTGCATATGTACAAATGCACTACTCAGTAGCATTACTAGAAATGAGTTTGTTTTTTTCTATCATCGGTTATAAATTTAGTCACCAAGTTTTTATGTCTCAGGCACACCTCCTTTATTAATGAGCACAACTGTCATGTGAGACCAGCTGCTCTGCAACAGTCTTACAGATACACAGTGTGACAATAACAGACACAAAAATGGCATGTGGCGTTTTCTTCAAACAGACTAGCACACAAAATAAACACACCAGTGTTCACTGTAGCATTGCTCAAGTTCATCTAACTAGAAACATACACTATGATCATTATGTATACACAATGTAAAAGGAATGGTCATTCCTGGTGAGAGTGCATTGCTCACACAGGATGAGGTGTTAGATTGTCTGTTAAAGTGGTAGTAAAAAGTTCTTTGACTTACTTACAAGTAAGCTTATAATAAAGTTTACCTGTAGGTAAAATTATATCTCCACTGTTTAGGAGATATTCCAGAGAGCAGCAGCTGGAGACATCACCGATGCAAGCGCTCTGAGGAACAGCGTACCCGTGCCATACCTTCAGAGCTGTGTGCCATGCGCAGGAGTCACGTTATCACGGCTCGGACAGACCCAGCGAACCCAGAAGAAAGGCCAGGTGAAAATGGAAACCCTGTCAACGGTGACAGCGCACCGCAGGCGGGCTTAGTTTTAAGGTATTTCTTAATGTGCTAGCATGCAATGCACACAAGCACATTGGGACATTAACTTGCAGGGGGAAATCGTGTTTTGTTTTTTTTTTTACTCCCCCAAGAGACTTTACTATAGCTTTAAGGGAAACGCATCGAATTAATTCTAGTCACTAAAGCCAGTCATACATGGATCAAAATTTGACCAATTCAGCAGGACCTGTCAGACAAATGCCTCTTGATCAGTGCCACAGGCTAAAGCTAGGCAGCGCTGATCAGTGTGGGAGGTCTCCCTGCTGTCAGAACACAATAGCTCAACTGGAGAATTTCCCCATCCATCTCAATTGTGTGGATGGGGGAATCAAGTCCATTTTTGTTCAACCCACTGGTTGAACAAAAAAAAAAAAAAAAAAAAAAAAAAGAGACACCTTACAGATCGCCATACTAAGACATCTGAAGTTAGCGCGGCAATCTGTCCGCTGAGCTATCGTGTTCTGACATGGGCTGTCAGCGCTGGTCAGATGCTGGTTTTCCAGCATGCCCATTCGACAGAAGCTGGTCAGGAGATCAGTTTCTGTTGGACAAGAAACGTACACACCTTTTTTCAGCCCATGTATACCCAGCCTAATTCTGACTTTTTTTTTTAACACCTCAAGAGAACCCCTGCCAAAAAAAAACACATTGGGGAGTTAGAGAAAATGCCTCTTATACTGGTGTCAGTGAAGAATGCCACATTTACAGACAGCTAAAAATATCACTGGTATCAAGCCGCTGGCCCCAGATCTATACAGGCATGGTCAGATGGGAGATCAATCAGCCATAGCTCAAGGAAGCTCCAACAACCTCTGGAGGAACTCCACTTGGAATGGCTGCACTATGCTATACTTTCTTGTCTTCAATATTATATTCTACAATGACCTGGATAAGGTGGAATTTCTCTACCTCCGCATGAATTGCAGAAATTCAGATTTCAACACTTTACAAACCTGTCATTCAAGTGTGTCATTCCCTGGTACATAAACAAACTGCCAAGTTCCTGGAAACAGAATTGCATTTACAGTGTTAAGACAAATATGAAACACTTCATACCTGTCATCCTCACCATCAACAGGAATAGGTAAACCAAAAACGGGTAAATGAAGAGGGTTTGTTAGAGTGTCCGTGATAGGAACCTTCACAAAAGACTTCTCAGAAATCAGGGGCATTGACGGCTGAGGTAGAGGTTCCGATTTTCTTCGGTCATCAATCTGACCAGCCAACGGCTGAGTCTGAAACTGACTAATGTTTGACTGTGGCAGACTTGTATTTACATTTGCTGTACCTTGCACTGGTGGAAGCCCAACTGTTGGTATTAGGCTGTTACTCCTACTGACAGACGTATGGCTACTCAAGGGGGACTGTACAAAAGTAGCAGGAGCAATTGGCATAGTAACAGGAATAGCAGACACACTAGGCACACTACTTGATAGTCCAGAAACCCCTGTACTAGGCACAGCCACGGGGACGTTCTGCACTCCAGGGGTCATGGCATGGTGGCTGCCCAATATGCTAGTCCCACTCACTTGCTGTTGACTTATAGATTTCTGTTGCACTGCACCAATGGAGGACACGGTTGCCTGCGCCACACCTCCTCCTGCTTGTTGCATATGAACCGGATGGGTCTGGGGAGTCTGCCCAAGCCCTGATCCTTGGCTGGCCGTGTCACTAGATTTAGAATGAAGGCCCAGAAGCGGCGCTCCAGCGGCTGGCAACTGCTGGCCCGGAAGACTGGATGGAGCCCCAGTACCTGCAATCAGGGACGTTGCAGCTTTTTGGGTTGTTCCTTGCGACTGAAGAACTGTTCGGTGTTGGGCGTACTCGGCTTGACCGGAGGCCAACGCGTGCCCTGGTTGGGACTGGGAGTAAGTGAACGGCTGGGACTGACTGACGGATGTGCTGGTCTGCTGAGTTAGGGAGACGTTCTGGGGGGCACCTGGGACAAGGTTTGGTAGGTAGGTCTGGCCTGGTGGTGGCACCATCACCGCAGCAGGATGCATGGGCTGAGCGGCACCCTGGGCCACCACTCCACCACCTAAGGGCTGAGCAGCACCCTGGGCCACCACCCCAGCACCCATGGGTGGCTGCCCGATGACAAACTGCTGGGAGGGCTGGGTGATGAGTGAGCTGGTGTCAGCTATAGAGTCATGTGCGGGGTGTACGGAGGACGACACTGACACCACCACCACCGAGCCGCCAACCGTGGCCCCCAGGCCGCTGTCTCTGTCCGGAGCAGAGTGATCATAGGTGCCCCCGGTGTGGCGGATGGTGTCCCCCCCCGCTCCGGGAGATTAAAGTGCTGCCGTCCGAGTCCTTGTCGTAGTACTCCGTGCACGTCCAGCGCCCCCTCCGGTACGGCTCCCCGGAGCTGTGGTCGAGTTTGATGACCCGGAAACGGGAGCTGCAAGCCTGAGAGGTGAGCGGGGGGGCCGGAGCGGGCTGAGCCGTCGGAGGAAGGGGGGCCCCCCGGAGGAGCGCCTCGTGCGGCACGTTGGGTGACATGGTCCCGGGGGTTTCGGCCTCCCCCACGTTGTTGAGGGTCTCCTCGGACGAGCTCCTCTCCACCACCTCCTCAGGCCCGTAGTCGGTGGTCCGGGACACGTCGAAGATCTCGGAGGAGACGTCCTCGGTGCGGGACTCGTCAGGGTCGTCCAGGCTCTCGGTGTCCTCGGTGATGCTGCTGGCGGCCTGGGCCGTGGTGACGCTGGTGATCTGGAAGCAGCTCTTCTTCTTAGCCGGCATCTTGGACATGGTGCGGAGAAGGGGGGCCGGGCCCACACACGTTCCCCCTCCCCGGGGAGGACGACACACGGACGAGCTGACCGCTGCTGCTTCCTCTAGCGCAGGCCTAACATCCCGGCTCTGGCGGGGAACCGCGCTCCGCTGCAGGCCTCAGAGGCCCCGGCCTCCTCCTGTCAACACGGTCCGGGGATGCTGAGGAGAACAGGCCGCTTGTCACCCAGAAGGCGCCGCCGGCTCCAGCCTAGGCGGAGAGGGTGGAGGAGGAGAGGAGGCCGCGGCTCTCCCCTACCTGGACTCCACAGCGGCTGACATGTCAGGAATAGGATGTGGCCGGGCACTCTGCTCTCAGAGGAAGTGAGAGACGCTGAGCAGGCTGGAAACTACAAGGAGGAGAACGGCTGTTACTGACGACCGGCTCCGCCCCCTGCTTCTCCGACTCTGAAATTCAAAACCCCCCTCTACACCTCCCCTCCTCAAAATGGCCGCCAGGGGCACTGTGAGGAAAGACTATCGGAGGGGCGGGGCCGCCTTGAGGGACGGCCGGCTTCTATTGGGAGACGTCAAGCAGCCAGGCGTGTTCTGGAGTGATGTAGAGGAGGGGCCACTCCCCTGGGACGTGGTGGAAGGGGGTGGAGAGGGGCGTGGCGCTTGTGGTACATCCCGGGGCGCCTGGTGCCTGTGGTGTCTGTTGTAGTGTTGCATGGTGGGCATTACCCCCGCAGTGCCAGTACACTTAGATCGGCTCAGGAGTACTGAGAATTGAGAATCACTTCAACGTACTGACAGATACGTGGCCTGGCAATGCTAGCCGTTACTTGGCTGCCTACAGCACTTTGTGTACGTCGGAGCGCGTGTGCAGATCAGGAGTTCCCACAGAACTCGAAGAATGATTGATCGGGTATAGAAGCAGCCAGGCAAAGAGCATTTCAAATGGAGGCCAGCAATGTCTTCCCTGTACAGCTTGTTAATGGGTTTTGTGTTCCAAATAGTTGTCCACGTTGTGATGTAGATGTGTGCTCACACTTTGCTGCTACATATAGACCCTTAAAGCACAACTCCACCCAAAAGGGGAAGTTCCATTTATCTGCATCCAACCCCCTCCGATGCCACATATGGCTGCTTTTGACAGGTACCCATTCCAATGTCTAGATCAGATCGCTAGGGTGATCTTAGCTGGAAGTTTGCCCCCCCCCTCCTAACCCTCGCAGAACCACAGGTCCCAGAAGACTGTGTCCCACTCAAAGTGCAGCCATCTTCGCACATGCGCAGTAGAAAACTAGCTGTGAACAGGGGCGGACTGACCATTTGGAAACTCGGGCACTGCCCGAGGGCCCGGGGTCAGTAGGGGGCCCCATGAGATGCCCCTGGTTCCTTTTTCATAGGCTTTTTTGAGTTTGGGCAAGGACACAGGGGCCCCATGATCCCCTATTGCCCGGGGGCCCCATGAGTTGTCAGTCCGCCCCTGGCTGTGAAGTCACCAGGCTTCACTTCCAGTTTCCCTTACTGAAGATGTGGGAACCTGCACCCAAAGGTGATTGAAAATCGGCTCAGGAGAGGACATCGTTGGATCCCTGGACTGGTCAGTCCCCTTATATTAAGTCCTCATGCACACCAGACATTTTTACAGCTGCTATTTCTGGGTTTTTTTTCTACAGCCAGTAAACTCCCCAGCATGTTATCCTATATGTCCATGCACACATACAATCAGGTCCAAAAATATTGGACATAGACACAATTCTAACATTTTTGGCTCTATACACCACCACAATGGATTTGAAATGAAACGAACAAGATGTGCTTTAACTGCAGACTGTCAGCTTTAATTTGAGGGTATTTACATCCAAATCAGGTGAATGGTGTAGGAATTACAACAGTTTGCATATGTGCCTCCCACTTGTTAAGGGACCAAAAGTAATGGGACAATTGGCTTCTCAGCTGTTCCATGGCCAGGTGTGTGTTATTCCCTCATTATCCCAATTACAATGAGCAGATAAAAGGTCCAGAGTTCATTTCAAGTGTGCTATTTGCGTTTGGAATCTGTTGCTGTCAACTCTCAAGATGAGATCCAAAGAGCTGTCACTATCAGTGAAGCAAGCCATCATTAGGTTGAAAAAACAAACAAACCCATCAGAGAGATAGCAAAAACATTAGGCGTGGCCAAAACAACTGTTTGGAACATTCTTAAAAAGAAGGAACGCACCGGTGAGCTCAGCAACACCAAAAGACCTGGAAGACCACGGAAAACAACTGTGGTGGATGACTGAAGAATTCTTTCCCTGGTGAAGAAAACACCCTTCACAACAGTTGGCCAGATCAAGAACACTCTCCAGGAGGTAGGTGTATGTGTGTCAAAGTCAACAATCAAGAGAAGACTTCACCAGAATGAATACACAGGGTTCACCACAAGATGTAAACCATTGGTGAGCCTCAAAAACAGGAAGGCCAGATAAGAGTTTGCCAAACGACATCTAAAAAAGCCTTCACAGTTCTGGAACAACATCCTATGGACAGATGAGACCAAGATCAACTTGTACCAGAGTGATGGGAAGAGAAGAGTATGGAGAATGAAAGGAACTGCTCCTGATCCTAAGCATACCACCTCATCAGTGAAGCATGGTGGTGGTAGTGTCATGGCGTGGGCATGTATGGCTGCCATTGGAACTGGTTTTCTTCTATTTATTGATGATGTGGCTGCTGACAAAAGCAGCAGGATGAATTCTGAAGTGTTTCGGGCAATATTATCTGCTCATATTCAGCCAAATGCTTCAGAACTCATTGGACGCCGCTTCACAGTGCAGATGGACAATGACCCAAAGCATACTGCAAAAGCAACCAAAGAGTTTTTTAAGGGAAAGAAGTGGAATGTTATGCAATGGCCAAGTCAATCACCTGACCTGAATCCGATTGAGCATGCATTTCACTTGCTGAAGACAAAACTGAAGGGAAAATGCCCCAAGAACAAGCAGGAACTGAAGACAGTTGCAGTAGAGGCCTGGCAGAGCATCTCCAGGGATGAATCCCAGCATCTGGTGATGTCTATGTGTTCCAGACTTCAGGCTGTAATTGACTGCAAAGGATTTGAAACCAAGTATTAAACAGTGAAAGTTTGATTTATGATTATTATTCTGTCCCATTACTTTTGGTTCCTTAACAAGTGGGAGGTACATATGCAAACTATTGTAATTCCTACACCGTTCACCTGATTTGGATGTAAATACCCTCAAATTAAAGCTGGCAGTCTGCAGTTAAAGCACATATTGTTTGTTTCATTTCAAATCCATTGTGGTGGTGTATAGAGCCAAAAATGTTAGAATTATGTCAATGTCCCAATATTTATGGACCTGACTGTAGATTGTAATCAGCATTTTTTTGACAGGGGCATTTTTTGGCTGGAAAAAAACCCAGGACTAGTGAGTTTCTAGAGGAGATTTTTAGCTGTAAAAACGCTCTAAGGCTGAAAAACGCAGTAAATCGTGGCAAACCAGCATCTTTGGACTTTTATGACGAAAAAAATGCTAAAAAACGGAAACAAACGCGGCTAAACGCTAATGCAGAAATACTGAAAGCTCATATTTTTAACGTGACTTTACACAGCTAACGTTACCAGCGTTATTAAAAATGCCCAGTGTGCATGGAGCCTAAAAGTCAGCCGCTACAGTATTTGGAGCCTTTTGGATGTCTAAACTCCCTATTGTGGACTGTTACTCAGCGCGGTGTTGACCCAGCTGTTCTTTTATGATGTGCCTTGACTATATTGTCGTTTGTGAGTACAACACCTACTTTATTTTTTTTATTAAACATTTTTTATGGTAATGCACTATGCCTGTGTGCCCTCTCTTTGTTCTTTCCCCATTCGCTACAGTATTTGTAGCTGCTTTTCATTTTTTGGGGAGGAGCCTGGAGCTCTGCTTTAAAGGAGAACTATAGGATAAACATTTCTTTTTCCATTTTGGATAGAGTAAGGCAGGGCTTGAAAGAGCCGCTCGCCAAATGTGAGGAGAAATTCCTCTGTGGCGAGCACAGATGAAGAAGCATGGAGCGACTGCACATGCGCTCCAAGCCTCATTGTGAAGCTGAGTTCCGGTTTACAACTTCCGGTTTCCGCAGCATCGCCATTACAGTGGCAGCGCCGCTGAGGGGACATGTGCAGGAAAGGTCCGCTCTCCACCGCCACGGGGGACTCAAGGCCCGCTCTCAACCACTTTGGGGGACATGAGGCCTGCTCTACACCTCCTTGGGGGACACGAGGCCTGCTCTCCACCGCCTTGGGGGACACGAAGCCTGCTCTCCACCGCCTTGGGGGACACGAGGCCCGCTCTACACCGCCTTGGGGGATATGAGTAAGGTTTGCGCCTGGCTAGTAGGTCTGGACTCAAAATTTTAACCCCTGGAGAAAGGGAGAGTTATAACCCATCAGATTTTTTTTCATCTTTGTCCCATTGAGATTTCCCTTCACCTCCTGTCCCATAGCCAAAACAGGAAGTAAAAGGAAATCCCTGAAAATTAACTCCCCACGAAGATTTCCCCTCTCTTACTTTTCTGTGGACAACCCAAAATTTGGGATTTTCTTTTAGGAGGGATGTTCAGGTCATATTGGGACTTTTGAGTTTACAGTGCCTTGTAAAAGTATTCATACCCAGGGGCGGACTGACCATTCAGGAGCTTGGGAACTGCCCAAGGGCTCAGGGTCAGCAGGGGGGCCCCATGAGATGCCCCTGGTCCCTTTCATGGGCTTTTGTGGGTGTGGTTTGAGTGTGGACGAGCACATAGAGGCCCTATGATCCCCTATGGCCCGGGGCCCCATGAGTTGTCAGTCTGCCCCTGTTCATACCCCTTGAAATTTTCCACATTTTGCCATGTTACGGCCAAAAATGTAAATGTATTCATTGGGATTTTATGTGATAGACAAACACAAAGTGGCACATAATTGTGAAGTGGAAGGAAAATGATAAATGGTTTTCAAAATTTTTTACAAATAAATACGTGAAAAGTGTGGCGTGCATTTGTAT